GTGCGGTTCTCTGCTTCCTCCAGTCAATTGGTGAAGTCCGTGAGTCTGCTACTGGTTTTTGTTATCTCGTCCCTAAGCTCTTGTATTTCCGTTTGGTGTTTGGACTTTATCTCCGCTATCATTTCATCCTTTTTCTGTATTGTTTCCCTCATATCCTGTATGACTCCAAGCAGCATTCTGAAATTTTCTTTCTGTGGCAAATCAATGTCTGCTTCTTCTATGCATCTTCTGCCATTGCCTTTTGTTTCTCCTGTTTTTTCCATTGATGTCACTGGGGGCTGATTCTTGTTTGGGTTGCACTGTTTTAGAGGAACCAGGTGCCATTTTCCAGGGAGTCGAAGAGCACTGGCTCTCTCTAGGAGACTCGTAGGGATGATTCTTCGATCTGCCTGCAGCTAATTTCACTATGGAATTGGCCTCCCACTTTATCCTCCTGTGGCTTCACTCTTTCCCTAGTCAACCAGTATTCTGTTATTAGGAGGGCAAGTTAGATGGTCCCCTCAGGGGACACTGGTTGGGTTGTTGTCGACCCACGAGGATGGTGCTATACTGGGTGATCTCACATGAAGCTATGATGGTGTGGCCCACGGTGACCTGGGGCACTGCAGAGAGTGTGTGGGGATGTCCACTGCAACTGGAGTGCCACAGAAGGCTGGTGGATTGCCAGATTTGGTATAAAACACCTCAAATGGTGGGCAGAATTTCTCTGGTCAGGAAGATCACTGCAGAGATTTGGAAGAGGTTCCCACAGGAGCATGGTATGTTGACGAGTGTTGCCAAGCTGCCTTAGGCCATGCGAGGCACTATGTCAGGTGGGAGAAATTCCCTGTCATGTGGGACCATAGAGGATGAATAGGAGCTCCCCCAGTCACACAGGCAGGATTTCTCATAAAGATGGTGGGTGGGATTTCTCTGCCAAGTGTCAAGCACTGCAGAGTGCGGGCAGGTGGAATTTCCCCAGAAGAGGTTGGGCAGGATATCCCCTGGCAGAAGGCGGGCAGGCTTTACCCAGTCTCGGGTTGCGCTGCAGAGGGTAGAGTGCTCCCAGCTGGGTGGAAGGCAGGAGAAAGTGCCTTAGGCTAAGGGGAGTGGTCTGGAGGTAGGCAGTGGTGTGAGCAAAAAGAGAAAAAGAAAAAAACACTAAGCCTGCTAAGACTGTGGGGGGATAGACAGAAGTGAGGGAAACAAAAGTAACAATATAGCTGAGCCCTGAGCCCTGACTGGGGATGGAGGGGTTTAATCCCTACCCCAAGGTGGTGGCAAGCTGTGGCTGTGTTTAGATAAAGCTCCTGCGCCAGCCCAAAATGATCCTGGCTCCGGCAGAGACAGTGGCAGGGCTAAGGTCAAACCTGAGCTGGCTTCCACTGTGTAAGCCAAAATCCCCCAGCCCCTCAAAACCTAGTGGATCTGTGCCTACCTATCTTTATGATGGTCCTCCTGCGACCCAGCAGTGTGGAATTTCCCTCTAGTAACTCTCCTGGGCTGATTTCTGCGGGGTCCCTCTGGTATGTTACTCAGTTGCCATCTTCCTGGAAGGCTCCTGTCTCTGTTTTCTTAAAATCACTTCAAACAAGTAAACTCACTGCCATCGAGTTGATACTGTCTCACGGTGACCCTATGGGACAGAATTTCTGAGACGGTAATTCTTACAGGAGTAGAATGCCTATTCATTCTCTGGAGCAGTGAGTGGCTGGTGGTTTCAAATGACTGACCCCACGGTTAGCAGCCACCAGGGCTCCTTCACACTCGGAAATTCTACTATCTGCATGTTGACTATCTCCAGCACAAGAAAGGTTTAATCTTGTCCATGGCTATCACGCCAGAGTCCAGCACATAGGAAGCTCTCAGTATCAGCTGAATGAATGAATGAGTGAGTGAACGAGATCTTGGACCACAGTCCCTTCCCTATCAAGGGGGTCAGGGGGTCTCCTGCCGCCCGCCCTGGTTAGTTCCTGGACTAGGATCAGCTGGGGCAGAACTGGAGTCTCCCATTGGAAGAGTCTATGCTGTGAAAGGTTTCAGGGAGCCCAGAATAGACCCACCTGAGAGGAGCAGAAATTGAGGGCCTCAGGACACATTCTCCCCTCTCAGCATGTCCCAGGGACAGCAGGGCTGAGGGCTTCTGATCCACTGTCTATTACAGCCAAATTAAGTCCCAAAACTTAGAATAGCATCAAGTTATATTTACCGAAGACGTATTTATACTATCCAAAATAAAATTCACCTCTTCCTACTCTGGGTTGGAGGTCAGAACGGTAGGACATTATATTCATGTGCACATGTATAGGACTATTCTGTTCATACTCTTATACGAGTGGATTTCAACCCAGTGATCCAGAGTGACTGGTTTTGCTTCACTGGCCATGAATGAACCAACTGGAACCAGTTCACCACATGGTTGTTTGTACTCTACTCCAACCAAACCACTGACACTCACCACCTCTCTGAGAGAGGTTTCTGAGACTGTGAATCCCTACAGGGTCAGCCAGCCTTGGCTTTCTCCTGAGCAGCAGTTATTGGGTTTAAACCATCAAGCTTGTGGTTAGTAGCCCAATGCTTAACCCACAACGCTGCCGGGCACTTGGTGCCAAAAAACAAGCCCACTGGTGATGAAGTGGTTCCAGCTCACATTGATCCACACAGTTTCTGAAGCTGTAAATCTTTACGGGAGCAGAAATCCTCAGCTTTCTCCCAAGCAGCAGCTAATGGGCTTGAACGACTGTGTTTGTGGTTAACAGCCCAATGCAAGGCTCAGTGTACCACCAAGGTCTTCACAGTCAGCGTGCACTTACACTGGCCGCTCAGATGAGTCACAAGAGGCAGGCAGCTGCCAAGCCGGGCCACACAGATCTGGAAGCAGGAGCCCGTGGGCCTTCTGTTTAAAGCTAAGTGACTTGGATATTGGGGGTTGGGAGGGGAAGGAGGATTATGGGTTTGTGTCTAAAAGCATGAACTTCCTTTTTGCAGTAACTTTTCCGGTAAATATTCCCATCAGGATGAGAAACTTAAAAAAAAAAATACAAATTACCAAGAAAATAGATGGTTTATTTTTGTATATCCATAGCAGAATATTACATAATCAGAGAACCTTCTCTCTCATCACAGAATGCATATCCTACAGTCTTTCTATATGAAAACAAATAAACAACAACAAAACCGTGACATTGATTTGAAGCCTAAGGTCATCAGGACCAGACACGATGTGACCAAACACACTGCTCAGGTGAGAGAAACTTCTGGAGGAGCCTGCAGATTATCCAGAGGGCCTTGAGGATGAGAACTGGGGGCTGCTATGGTGGTGCCCAGCCTGTGTTCTTCAGACCTGGGGTCGCCCTGCTCAGAGCTGAGCCTGTGGGGGAACAACTGCTGCTGTTGAGTCAGTTCCAAGTCCTGCAGAGTATAAGTGTGCACCACTGGGTTTTCTCAGATCACCAGGCTTTCTTCCAAGGAGCCTCTGGGTAGATGTGAACCACCCACCTTCTGTTTAGTTACTGAATGTTCAACTGTTTATGTCACCCAATTGGACAAAAAAACATGCAGTGAAAGCCCAAGAAAGAACAGATGGGCAGCTGACGGAACGATGAAGGTAGGCTGAAGCAGCACCTTACTTTCTACCTCTTGTGGTTTTCTAAGTAAGAAGAGGTTTGAGAGGGTGTTTACCTTTGCTGCAAATATATCCATGAATGTGTTGGTGAATACAGGAGGCAAAGTTATGGGAACTTCTTAGACATAGTCAAATACCTGGAGGGAACAAGTAGTTGGCCTAAGAGCTCAGGATCAAGGTCTTAAGGGCATCAAGGTCATTCACATAACAGATTCCCCCAAGACAATATTCTACACCCCACTTTCATGAGTAGTGAGTAGGGTCTTACAAGCTCCTGAGTGGCCCTCTAAGGTGAAAGTATTGGTCTTTCCCTGTCCAGAGGAAAGAATAATGAAAGTTGAAGACTCATGGAAACAGTCCAATGGAACAGCAGTCTTCACAGTCCTGAGATCAGGAGAACTAGATGGTGCCCCACTGCAACTACCAACTGTTCTGAAAGAGATCACATTAGAACAGCAGTTCTCAACCTGTGGGTCGTGACCCCTTTGGGGGGGTGTCGAGCAACCCTTTCATAGGGGTCGCCTAGGACCATCGGAAAACACATATTTCTGATGGTCTTAAGAACCGAGACACAGCTCCTCTATCCATCTCAAGGAGGGTTCGCCCACATGCAGATACACCCACATGAGTACCCAGCATGAAGACTGTTACCTATGCTATATCATGCTTCAAGGCAAAATTTCATTTATTTGTCATTAGAAATAAATATTTCACAATATATAATTACATATTGTTTTTGTGATTAATCACTATGCTTTAATTATGTTCAATTTCTAACAATGAAAATGCACCCTGCATGTCAGATATTTACATGACAATTCATAACAGTAGCAAAATTACAGTTATGAAGTACAATGAAAATAAATTTATAGTTGGGGGTCACCACAACATGAGGAACTGTATTAAAGGGTCACGGCATTAGGAAGGTTGCGAACCACTGCATTAGAAGGTCCTTGATGTAGTGGAAGAAAAATGGGGGGGCAAAACCCAAATCAGAAAAAAGGCCATGCTTACTGGTCATATAGAGATTGGTGGAACCATGAGTCTTAATCACCCTTCAGGGGTGGGAATGAACTTACCACCATGACTCCATTTTCAGCCCAATAGACAGGTATGTAAGGGGAACAATAACACTGGAGATGTACATACCCCTTAGAATAATCAACCATTTGAAAACAACCAGTTTTGAAAGGCAGTATTTGCCCCTGGGAGGAAGCAGAGTAAGTGATGTCATACTATAAAGGTTGCAATCACTGTGATGAAACAAAATGTGTATGAATCGTTGAATGGAAAACCGATCTAGTCTGTAAACCTTCAACCAACTCACAGCAAAGTTTAAAAATATCTATTTAAAAAATCAAATCAAATAAAAATAGGAGTCTGAAATATGATTTAAAATGTAATTAAAAACAAAACTTAAAAACTATAATTGATAGCCTTAAAAAACATCTTAAAAAATTCAGCAAAGTTTTAAAGTCAATTCTACTTGTCCTTCCAGCCTTACAAGACAAAACCGCCCTGCTGCTGTTGACTTGGTTCTGACAGAGTAGAATTGCCCCCACGGGGTTTCCAAGGCCAGGGGGAAATGGGACCTGGTGCTCCTGTGGGATAAGCACTGAGTTGCTAACCACAGGGTGTGCAGTTCAAAACCACCAGACATACCTCCAGAGAAAGAGGAGGCAATCTACTTCCATAAAGACTTACTATCTGGGACACCCTAAGGAACGGCTCTCCCGTCCTCTCATCAGGGTCCTCAGGAGTCGATCTCCCTGATGGCAGTGAGTGTGACTTACAGGATCAGACCGTCACGTCTTTCGGACATGGAGCCGCTTGGGGGTGAGCACTTACCCGCCGCACTGCCAGGGTTGTGACTTCCCAAGTGGCACTCCTTGATAGATGACACTCTAAACAACAACAACAAAAACCCACTGTATCGGGGCAGTGCCGACTCAGAGTCTGCTTCTCCAACAGTGCCAGCAGGGCTTCCTCTGGGAAAGCCGGAAACCAGGTGTTTGTCTTTGTTCTCATCCAGATGAAGGACAAAAGCAGGTTGACATGATCTAGCTGTGAAGGTCACGCTAACGTATTTCCTAAACGGTGAGCAGAGACCAGCCAAACACAGAAGAGCAATCTGAAATCTTTGAGTTCCTAATATGCAAATCCATGCCTATTTGTTAGGTTTCATTTTTCTTTTTCAGCAAGTTGGAGAAAGTGCACCTGCCCGCTGCCTGAACGGATCCTAATCTCCGCAGGGCTGCGGGTGGCCAGCCAGGCCTGGCTCCCTGCATGGAGACATCCTGAACTTCCCGACCTTCTGCATCCCCAGACAACCTGTCACACCTGGCTGAGAAGGAAGGTATCTGAGAAACCTTCATGAGCAGCAGAATCAGGAGTTTATCACTCTTCTGAATCAAATTACCATTTTTTGCAAGCTCATTCCTTTTGAGATTCTCATGGAGGCAAATATAGGGGTTTAATCTAGTTTTCAATCTCCCTTGGAAAACATATATCAGTGCTCAGTGATCTCAAATCTCCTCGGGATACCAGAGGTTTAAATGGATTGGCAGAATGGGGGAATCTGTTGATTATATGGTTTGTTTGTTGTTCTCCTGCCCACAAAGGCCCTCCATCAGTGCTTTAGCAACCTGAGCACTGAGTGCCACCTGGAGACTAGTTGGCGTATCCTGGCACGTTGACGAGAGCCACGAGAAGTTTATCAGCCAGCGAGAAAAGCACCATCGACCACAAAAAGGCTTTAAAACTTATGAATGTGTCTTAACTGACTTCTCACTTGACCGAGCACTACCACTCCACTCCATCTCCACCCTCATCCCTCAGCTGAAGTCCTCTGAGGGCTGTCCATGTGTCCACAAGGGTGAAGGTGAGCTCCAGACCAGCAAGCAAGAAGGCAGGGCAAGGAGGTGCCAGAGGTGTCTCCAAAGGTGTGAAAAACAGAAACAAAACAAAACAGCCCCACAGGACCCCCAGCCAGCCAGCCCTGTGTCAAGAGCAGTGCTTGGTGAGGGAGATGCAGTAGCCGTAGTCCTGCCCGTCAGCCCAGGGGAGCTAAGCCACCCGTGACATCTGGCTTGTCCAGGCTCTGCAGAACTGGGGCCAGTGACGGTCTCAGGAGAAGGCAGGCTGGAGGCTGCCCACTGCAGAAGCCTCCAGATCTTGATCTCCCCCAAGTAGCGAGCCTTCATGGTGCCAGCAACTGCCGCATCCCCCGGGGCCAGAGCCTGCGTGGGTCCTGGCTTGGTCTCACGGTCCTTGCTCTTCTCTGCCCAGCATTCTCAACACAGATGGTCCGCTCCAGGTGGTCATTGGCGAGGTCCCCTCTCACGCTGGCCACCTTTTTATGAGCCTTTCTGCTCTGAGAAGACCAGCAAGGCCTCTCCAAGTGCACCGAGCAAGAGGCTGCAACAAACAAACAAACAAAACCAGAAAAGGGTCAGCTTCCTGCTCCCACACAAAGAGGTCAAGAGATGCCCCCTTTCCTCCTGCCATGGTGACCGCCACTCTTCAAATCAGCCCCCGGGCAGCTTCCTGAGAGAAGGCCACATGCCTGAGGTGGACGTGCAGGGCCTTGACGCCTTCCTTCAGAGAAGAGGGTGGGCTGCCCACTCAGCCCCTACCAGGGGAGGGCGATGGCTTAGGTGAATGCCCTCTGGCCACACAAGGGTTTTCCGACAGAGCCCATCTGGATTGATGCGGATGAGCTCGTGCAAATTCCCATGATCTTCCCAACTGTAAGGGAACCATCTGAGCACTCTGAACTTTTATTTAGGAGAACGGGGGAAAGCTGTACCAGTTTCCAACAGGTGTTGAAAGGGCAAGTGTAGTGGGAGAACTAGAGAGTAGGAGGGAAGGACATGCTGGCTACTTAAACACGCCTACAGTCCGGTGCATGCAAAGTCTCCACGTTGGCTACCGCAGACTTCTCAGCCATGGCCTGCCATCCTTCCCAGGAAAACGCTTCTAGGGGCTGGGCTGGGCATCAGGAGGGAATGGGGTGGGGCCCTGAAGGTAAAACACTGGCCTTTCAATTATAACCTTGTCCCCCTTCCCACCTAGTATGTTGAACCTCCCACCAAACACAGACCCAGCACTGAGGTGCCTTGCGGTTTCCCACACAGCCGAAGGTAAAGACTGCAGGAGATGCTGCCACATGGCAGGCTGTGGGTGCCTGTCACCACGTGTGCCAATTACCACTTTCCATAGAGGGATGAATCGACTAGAATGTACAAAACAAGAAACTTGAGGATCTTGGAGAACTGTGCTCAAATTTTGACTCAGGCACTTATTAGCGATGTCATCTTTTCTGTCTCATGGGAGACGTAGAAGCACTCCATCTACAGCATCCTGCCTCTGTGCTTGGCCTCGAACAGGCGATCGGTAACAACAGGACTGTCTTCTAGCCTGCTGTCCTCCCAGAGTGGTAATCCCTCTGCTGGTGGCCCTCCCAGCTGGCTGGCTGCCCAACCTCCACGTGAATACTTCCAGAGAGGGGTACATCCCACCATTGGACGCACACAAGTTTAAGGGCATATTACTTGTGAAAGGCACCGTGGCTGGCCCGGGGACTGGCTGAGACGTGTCTTCTCCCTCAAGTAGGCCCTCTTTATACTGACTTAGAGCTGCTTCTCATAATCTCGCCTAGTAGTCCCAGCGCTGCTTTCTGGGGCAACAAAGAACAAGTCCGCTCCTCGTCATCTACCGTCAGCCTTGCGGGTCTGTGGGTACCAGAACCCCATCCTCACAATGGTGACTTTTGAGCCCCTGTTGCAGCCACTGGGTCAACCCAGCTCCTGGAGGGTCTTCCTCTGTCTCACTGACCTTACCAGGCGCGGTGCCCTTTCCCAGGGACGGGTCTCTGCTGTCCGCCTGCTAGAGTTCAAGCTCACTGCCCTCGAGTCCATGCTGACTCACAGCAACGCTGTAGGACAGGGCAGAACGGCCCCTGTGGGATTCTGAGACAAACTCTTTACGGGAGTTGAAAGCCTCTTCTTTCTCCCTTGGAGTGGCTAGTGGTTTTGAACTGCTGGCTCTTCAGTTAGCAGCCCAACTTGTAACCACTGCACTACCAGGGCTCCTCCTTAGAGAGAAGGAAATTCAAGGAACCATCGTAATCCCTACTCGCTTGGTAACTAAAAGCCTCTGTGTGAGGGGAGAGAAAGGAGCTAGTCGAGTATCTGCTCACTGGGGAGGGGAGGTGAGAGAATGTCCCTCCTTGTACCCAGGAGCTAACTAGCACCAGGGACAAAGATAAGATGGGCATAAGGAGATGTTCCCTAGTATCTTAAGCTCCAAGTTGGAAAGTACACTCCTCTTTCCCACAGAAACACAAGGATAATAAGTCTATAAATCCTACTTAACTCACAGCTGAAATTGGTGTCTACATTAGAAGTGAGCTGCATTTCCGAGGCTGTTCCTGGTTCACTTGCTCACTCACTCATGCATTGCCACGGGGGCAATGCTGGCTCAGGAGACCCTACAGGACAGGGAGCACTGCTCCTGTGGGTTTGTGAGCTGCGACTCTTTATGGGAGCAGAAGGCCTGGCATTCTCCCTCTTAGAACAATAACCATCACTTATATGTTCTCCACGCTCCAAGAAGGCCAACATTTTAAACCAAACCCATTTATGAAGCTGAGGTCTGCTTATCCCTTGTCTAGTTCAGGGTCTCCAAGGTGATAGGGTTCAAGTTCCTGTTCTCTTTGGATAAAGGTGCCTTGGTTGGTGCCGACAGTTAACATGTTCAGCTGCTCACCAGAAGGTTGGCGGTTCAAGTCCACCCAGGAGTACCCCAGTAGAAAGGTCTGGCCATCTCCTTCCAAAGAATCAGCCAGTGAGAACCCAGGGGGCAGCGTTCCACTCTGATGCCTGTGGGGTGTCCAGGAGTGGGCAGGACAGGAGGCAGGTGGGAAGGGACAGCTACAATTCTGGTACACAGCTCATCTCTAAAGACCTGCCTGTCCCTTTTAAGCAGAGCTGCTGTCGTCCCCAACGTCCTTTAGAGAGAGCGCACCCTGACTTCTTAAACCCCGGGTGAGCGCAATGCTACTGTGACAAGGGCTGCGCAGGGCTCTGGGCCCAGGATGGTTTTATTTCTGGCCAGTATCACTGGAGGGTCAGCCTTTTATACACTTTCCACGAATCTCAGTCATCACCTAGGAACAAAATAAGGTTGTGGCTGGTCCCTTGCAGTTTTATTCCCATGATCCTAAGAACAATGTTGAAGAGTAAACATCTTGCATTTTCATTCCCGGGGCTGAGCTGTTTCATGGAACCCCAACGCAGCTTAGAGAAGGCCCAGTGAAAACCAGCCAGGTTGGGTTTACAGTGAGGAGAGCCAGGGAGGTGTGCTTTGATGGCGTTTTCTAATCAGCAGGAGACGCTGGCAGGGATCTTAACAGTGTTGCAACCATGTAAGACGAAGCTTTACCGAACTGTTTGCAAATCTTTTAATCTCCATCATTCCTGAAACGAACAAACTTCATGTCGCTGAGGCATAAACAGCAAATCGCAGAGCATGCCCAGCCAGGAATTAGCAGCACTGGCTTCTCTCATTGTCACAAATCTTTTTCGCGTTTCCCCAGCCTGTCTCTCTTCTGACCTCAGTCTCAGCCTCACAGTGTTGGGCTGGTCTATAATTCCAACTAAACTCACCAGAGAATGGCAGCTGGGTTCCTCCCCCAGGCCTAGAACCTATTGCAGAAGCTCAATAAAGACTGCTTCCATACATGACTGAATCGTCATACTGGTGACTTTCTGCCACTTATATTCCACACTGGTTTTGCGTTTTCTCTTGGTCTCATCAAAATGTATCTGTCCAGGGTGCTGTGCTGCATGGCAGCCCATAATCTGATCAGCTCATCTGTGCTGACAAGCAATCCACTCACTAACCACCATTGAGTTGACGTCGACTCACAGTGTTCCCATAGGAGAGGGTAGAACTGCCACTGTGGGTTTCTGAGACTGTAACTCTTTATGGGAGTAGAAAAACCCATATTTCTCTCACTGGCGGTTTCGAACTGCAGACCTTGCGGTTCACTACCCAGCACATAACCACTTCACTACCAGGGCGGCTCTGACAGGTCATTAGCAACTGTTATTTAGAAGGCTCTTTTCAGATGCATTTCCAAGGACAGTGCCTATTTTCAAGCCAAAGGGAAAGCTGAGATGGGGGTTTCAGGCACTGTGAGCCCACAGGCACTAGGGGATGTGCTGGTGGAAGCTCTTTCTTCCCTGCTGACTTCATGGGCTTGGTGGTAGCAGCCTTGTCTCCCACGTGGGACACCCGGGTCTGTTTCCCTCCCAGCCAGGCTATTTCATGCATGGCCACCACCCACCGGTCAGTGGAGGCTGACGTGTTGCTGGGATGCTGAAGAGGTTTCAATAGCGCTTCCAGACTTAGACAGGAGAGGAATACAGGCTTATTAACCCATGCCTGGGAAACCAGCCAATGAAAGCCCCATGGATCACAAGGGTCCCATTTGTTGGGTATGGCACGGGTCACCACGAGCCGGAGGCCGCCTTGATGCCAGTCAATGTCCACTAGCGTGGTACATAGATCAGCGACCCTGCGGTGTGAAAGGTTAACAGACTGCTGCTAGGTTCCAAGTACACCTAGAGGTGCCTTGCAAGAAAGGACTGGCGATCAACTTCCAAAAAAGCAGTCACCTTTGTAGCACCTGGCTACTGGCTATACATAGACTCAGGCAGGCTCTCCAAGAAGACCCCTAAAATTAAAGGGACAGGACACTCCTCCTCAGAGATAATGGCTGCAAGAGTGTCTTCTAAAGAGCCCTGGTGTCGGTGAGCTCTGCTGTGGGATCAGCGCACAGTCTGTGATCAAAGGGGGCAGAGGAGACTGTGGTTGTGGTTTTTAGAACAACGCTGCATGTTGGGTATCCCTTTCTTCCTTTGAGCCTCAACGGCTCCAGAGAAAAGGGTGGCTCTCCTAGTTTCAAACAATGTTGAACTCAAGAGGAAGCACACGCAGAACTCATTCTCCTTCTTCGGGAACTGGTCACAGCTCACAAGGTTTTTTGTGTGTGTATGTGTTGAAGCCCTTTCACTGAAAATTTGAGAATTAATATCAGCGTATATAAAGTACATGTTGTTCATATTCATTGTGAATATGTAAATCGGGATATTTACATTGCTGGGTTTTAAAGTTTCTGTTTTTATCACTAAAAACACTATCACTAGCTGGACAAGTTGCTTTCCATGAAAGACTTTAAAAATTGACCCACACTGGGTACTTAGGCTTGTTCTGGAATACAGCATTTCGAAAGCTGGACATGCATTAGGTATTAAACAAGCACCTGGTTCCAGACCCATAGATGAAAGGCGAATGGAGCATAAACCCCTCTCCAGAGCATCTCACAGCCTCACAGAGCCTCACAGAGCATG